TTTGGTACATCCAGGTATAGATTTGATATCAGAGGCTATCAGCGTATCCTTGTTTCCGTTTACTCTTTTGCGCAAATTTGTTTCGTAAAAGTCAACCAGCGCTTGAGTGAGTATATCATACAAATTGGTAGTTCGATCTGGGTTCAAATCCCAGCGAACGGGCTGGATGTAAGAGTTTTCGTGGGTTTCTCCTTGTATAGGAATATAATAAATTCTCTTAAAAAGTCCTCCACGAAATTATCTCATAACTCAGCAGGAAGCCCCCCCCATACTTTACCGCTATCCAAATAGTCAGTCCAATCTTTTCTTAAAGGATTGTCCAATAATTTATGGGGTTGAGCATGTGACGTGACTTTCATAGCTTAGTCAAAATCAAAATCAAGATATCATTTTGGAATGATGGAACTGCTGAAATAATTCGCCTAAATTACATTAGAAGATCTGAATTTCTATGAGTTACGATGAAGGGAAGGAGATAGAATACCAGAGGAGAGGGCTCCGAGACCTGGCGCCTCGAAGCCAACTTATACAGTTTATTAGCACCCCAACCACGAGAAGCAATTCCAGAGGGCGGCATTCCCCTCGGTCAACTCAGGGGGACTTAACAAATTCAGACATTGTCCATCCACAAGAGTTGAGCGAGGGGAACCCCCTTCGACAACTCGCGATATCTGACAATGTAACGTCCCCACATCCAAGGGACAGACAAGACAGTACCAGTACGGTCCTTGCCAAGCTTGAACCAACCACTGAATAAACAATGGCTCTAGTCCTGTGAAGACTGTTTATTTAGCCCATAGGTCGAAGCTGTCTAGACATAGGTCTACCCAGTTGGCTGGATAGAACCCCGGGTCTCCTTCCATAAATGGTCGGTTCCGGAAATTCTAACCCAGTGGAACCCTAGAGATTGTGTCCCTCATCATCAGCTCAGGCGAACCTGGTTACCGGCGGAGGGGAGGGCGAGAAGACCGATGTCGGACTGGCTATAAATTAACGCGTTACTACCCCAGCAGCTGCACCCACTCTCAGAAGGTCCAGATCGAACCCCGGGTCTCCTCCCATAAAATGGTAGGTTCCGGAAATCCAATCCTTTACTGCCCCCCCCAAGCCATGAAGCGAAGGGGAAAAACTACAGGCAGAACGTTTTGCTATAGCGTGTGATTTTAAAATAGGAGCTTCAAGGACGTTTTCCGTGGGGCAATTGGCCTCGTTACCATGGGAACGACAGCATCGGTAGATGGCTTAGGTCGCTTAGTTCTTTTTTTCTCCGCTCCATTTCCGTTTAGCGAGTTTCGCTTCATGAAAAGTGTGTGAATGAGAGATGATGACGACAAGCGTTACGATTGGAAATGGTGGCAATAACCTTAAAGTGCCTGCTTAAAAGAAACAGACCACAGGTAAAGATACAGACAGCGAGGAAAATTACAACGCTGTTCAATGAACAAATTTCTGGCCGTTATGGTTGCTACGGATAAATAAGAACTGTTGCTACTGATAAACGAAAGATAACAAGAGATTTGTTAACACTGCGTATTTTAGTGTGTGTCCTAAGCTGGTAAAGTTATTTCACTTATGCACCCTAGCGTGCAGGTAAGTAGGTATGCATGCAAAGGGCTAATGAGGATTGTGGAAGATGGTCAGCAACTTTTTTATAGGCAGAGCCGCAAATTTATCATAATTAAGAATATCCTGAATTACTTTGAAATCAGAGCACTCTCAGGATATATGAGGTGATAAATTCGGCTTTGAAGTCCGTGTGCATTATAGAATTTCCCACAGCCGAAGGTGAGTTGGTGATCATAAGTAGGCGTTTATTTTAAAAAACTTAAAACACTTTTACGATGAGTTATGCCGTTGCTGCGCATACGCGAAGAGAGGTCTTAACAGCTTTATATAGTAGAAATTAGGAATCAGTTAGATGGAATATCTTCATGCGAAAGAATAACGTAATGAGATTTGCTGCATTTTTGTAGACATGTAAGGCCCTAGTCTGGACACCGTCGAGATTGAAGAACGGGTCGTTTTTTGGGATCTACTCGACAGAGAGCGAGTCTGGTGTCATCGTCTCGATCATTACAGAGACCGACGCGTCGGAAATTTTTCTGTCAGCTGGACAGCTGCCGTTTAAGTTTCTGACTGTCGTTTTAGAGCTAAACTGAGGACGGCGGAGGTCACGGATTGTTTTTGAAAGTGTACGTAATAGATATTTTAATTTCTTAAGATTTGTCAAAAACTTGGGTATTTCGCTATAGAAATAACGCATTTGATGCTGACGATTCTAATTATTTATTTATTCTACATTATCAATACCTTAATTAAATTTTAGTGAAAATAATATATTTGGTGTTTTCCTATTTCACATATAAAGAAGGGGTGCATACTTTTAATTTGAAATTGTAATTTTTAAACTAATGTATATATCAATGTACTTAATTTCATGTTTTGATGAGTAATTTATAAATCTTGAAATTTTATGTTTTAAATTATAATGTATTTCCCTCTACTTTTATTTGAATTTGTAGTGTATAAAAATGTAATACATTAGACATGCATTAAAGAATATGCAGTATATAATTCAAACTATGCACATCCTAAATTCAACATTCACATTAAATTGCTTTGAGTTAAAAAATTTATTTAAGTAGTTTTAACTGTACCGATATCAATGTCAATTTCTAATAGTTTGTAGAATCTCCTGTATAAAACAAGTTAAATTCCTGTATAATTTTCGGTTAAATTCTTGTCAATATTATAATGCAAGATTTATAATTAGTTATCAGATTTTTTAATGTGGTCTACTTTTAGATATTACATCAGTTTTGTGTATATTTATTCAGATCTAAAAAGTGCTTAGTTTTGGTTTTATGTAATTACGGCAAAGCCTCGAGGGCTATCTGCCTAAAGGGAGGGTTGCTTTCGGGGAGGACATTATAAGGGAAACTAGCTCGTATACACGTAACACATGGGGAAAACCACGAAAACGTCTATGCAACCAGCCCGTTCGCGGGATTCCAACCTTGGACCGAACTTCTAGTGTTCAGCGATTTTACCGGCCTCTGGTGGAATCGATTTAAAAAGAGTATAAATATATATGTACTGCAATTTCTTTCACTGCATCTGTTAATATATTTATACAGTTTTATATATATATATATATTTAAAACAGATTTTCTGTGCCTTAAACTTCTGTGCTTCTGGAAGTTACCAATGATATATCTGTGATTACCAAGGATATATTGGTAATGACAGATACATTGGTAATGACGCCCATGTGTCCAGCCCGGTCGCGGGATTCGAACCTCGGACCGCACTACCAGTGTTCGGAGATTTTACCGCTCGGCCACTAGTGGGATCGACTTAAAAAGGGCATAAATAGGAATATGTATTGCAATTTCCTTTCACTGCATATATTAATATATTTATAATACATTTATATATACAAATAGTTATTTATTTAAAACAGGTTTTGTGTGCCTTAATTTTTTATGCTTTTGGAAATTACGAGAAATATGTTGGTAATGACAGTTATATTGGTTATCAGAGATATGTTGGTAATGCCACAAACCCGTTCGCAGTATTCGGACTTCGGACCGAACTAACAGTGTTCAGCGATTTTACCACACTGTCACTGGTGCGATCGATTTAAAAAGGGTATAAAAAGGAATATATATTGCAATTTCCTTTCACTGCATATGTTAAAATATATATATATATGTGTGAGTGTGTGCAAGATAATGTTTTATGATTTAACCTATAGTTATTTATTTATTTTTTTTTTTTAATTTTTCTTCCTATTACTTTTGTTAAATGTTTGTTATATTTTTACTCACTGCTTATTGGTATCTACGATACATAGTATATTTGTAGCTACGTGATAGGTATAATTCTTGAATAAATAAAATTATTGATATAATCATGGGTTGCTAAAAGTTAAAATTTTGATTCAATTCATTAGGAATATTAAACACGCGTACGCGGTGCTGTACTTCAATGATTTGACTTATGACGTTGTTGCATAACCTTTTCAGACAAAATAATGTATTTTAATCATAAAATTCCTGTTTACAAATAGTTTACAAACATGTAACCTTTTAGAAAATTTCCATTTTGCAAAAGATCATACGTAAATAGTTTTGAAAAGGCCATTTCTTTCTGCGTTTAAAATACCCATTAACGTTCCCCATTTCTTTCTTCCATACTCTTTACTAAATCCAGCAGCGTATTTTTTCGAAAAATTTCACCATTTACTCGAACTCGATTTTTTATTCCTACCGCCATCCTCAGTAATAAGCACGTGCGAAACAGCCCCTTTGACAACAAACTACCCCGTTTCCCTGAGCCTGGAGCAATGTAGAGGTGAGATAGTCTGGTTGCTATGCAATAAACGTCACTTCCGCACGGAATTTCCACTTCACTTTCCGCCGACGGAATTTGAAGGGGCCAGACTCGCTCTCCCTTCTGCTGTCGAGTGGAAAGAGAATCCCGACTGGTTTTCTGATATCGACCTCGACCGGTGTCCATACTAGACCCCGTAATGCGATTATGCATGAATTTGGAGAACCACCTGAACGTGTCCTTTTGCTTCAAGACCTTAATTATATATAGGGCTAGCATAAATGATTCATTCATTTTGAGAAGGTGTATTTTCAAAAGTATTTTGCGTACACACATGAAAAATATATGAAATGAGCCACAAACTCACCAAATTTTTTCACTATTTCACCAAGTTTCCCGGATAATTGGAGTGTTGCTTCATCGCTGAATATTATCTTGGTGGCGAAATCTTCGTCCTCCAATGCTGACACAAAAATCTAGCCGACGGGCGTGTACACACGGTACGCACGGTTTGAAATGCAACCGTTGACGCAAACTCTTCCCCACAGTTGTTTTGTGGTATTCCGAACACCTGTTCAATTGACAGGACGACCATCTGGACAACAGTGCTTCAAAATGTATGGAATGATCTCGATTATTGTCTGAACGTGCGTCGTGTCACCAAATGGGCGCAATTTGAATGTTTGTAGAGGGTATATAAACTTGATAAGTTTGTGGTTCTTTTCATATATCTTTCAAGTGTGTACGTGAAATACTTTTGAAAATACAGCCTTTTCAAAACGAATGAATCATTTATAATGAAAGGATAAATGATTCTTTAGTTTAACTTGAGATCTGCAAGTAAGGGGAAACCACGACATCTTCTTGGGCCCGTCTGTTGAACTGAAAACTTATAAATGTTTTACGTTGTAAGCAGTAGATGGACTTAAGCTCCTTGCACTTCAGAAAACTCCGAGAATTGATGAAGCTAAAGAATCTCTGAAATGAAGTGAACTGCTGTTATGTTGATACGCATTTTATTGAAAGTTCGTGCGGTTCTTATGTTTTGATTGTGGGAGTATACGAATCATTGTGTATCGTGTAATTATCCAATTTAGCACTATTATGCTTTAATGAAACGAAGATGTGTAAGCTAAAATCGTGGCTAAAAAATTGTGTTTGAATTAGAAGCTGTGCAATGAATTTTGTGTCTGAATATTAGTTTAATAATGTATAGTTTCCGAAATTAAAGCTGAATTATTGTGTTACTGATGTGTAAGCTATTTAAATTTTTTGCCTTCAGTATTGTATATTAATGTGATTTTAAAGAGTTTAGAAATTTACAATTTCGTAGACAAGGAAGTTATTAATCATTTTTATAATCTGAAAACTGCCATTATTTATTTCTTGCCTCCTTTTCCACTTTTACGAGTTGCATTTATAACAGCTAAATCATTTAAGAGAAAAAATCAACAATGAAGTTGTAATATTTCACGTTCTTAGAAAAATTTGTGCAACTATTTCTTATTGTTAATTTAATGTAAATTGTAATCAGAAAATGGTAAAATAGGTTAAGTGAGTTTTATTAGGTACGAGTTCCTTTTAATCATACTGAGCGAAACTGATTAATGTAAGCAAATAACACGCCATAAGATACGCCTAGACAATGAGGTATAAAATACATTTATTGCAGATGTTGTCATCACTAAGAAAGAAAAGAAATATGATATCTGTCGCCTTTAGAATAATTGCATATTCTGATTTATTTCTAATCCAGTGATATTTGAATATGTAATTAGTTAAGTGTGCGGAGACCATAAATTGGTTTTTCATCGTAAAGGTAAAATAAATAACCTATATCAAATTTCTCTGTAGCAAATATTTCTAACATGCCAAACTTCAAAAAATCAATTCTTAGAACATATCAAAAATGTTGCATTAAACAGAACAACTATCTCTAAAAATCCTCAGCTATCAGAAAAATTACTCTTAACATAGAAAATATCAAAAAATTCCAAGAATCATCTAACCAATATAATGACAAAACTTATACCTAAGCATTAAGTGGTAGCAGTGCCAGCACTGGATTCAGTAGCATAGCTAGGGTGGAGCAAGGGGGGACATCTGTCCCAGGGTGCCAAATTGATGCTACGAAATTCTTTAATGAAATGTTTTCCATTCTTGGCACACAGTAAGGGGCGCGAATTTATCAGTTGTTCCCGGGCGCTGGAAACTCTAGCTTACGCCCCTGACTGGATTCATAGAATTCATTAAGGCCATCCAAGAACTTGAGAAAATTTTAAGGTGCTACTTTGGTAGACGGTTGCACGGATTTTGGCGATTTTTTTTTGCCAAGCAATATGACTTGTGGTAAACCCATTGCTAGACAAGTTATTTATGGTAACCGATACATTGTTGTCATTATATTTTAAAAATATGCGTTTTATTATGCATAAATTCAGTGTTTTAAATATTATTTATGGCTTCTAAATATTAAAAATTAATTTAATTCTGCATTTTTATTTGAAATAAAAATTTTATTGTTTATGATAAGCCCACCAGCGGCCGAGCGGTAAAGACGCTGAACACTGGTAGTTCGGTCCGAGGTTCGAATCCCGCGAACGGGCTGGCTGCATGGGCGTTTTCGTGGTTTTCCCCATGTGTAACGTGTATACGAGCCAGTTTCCCTTAGAAAGTCCTGCACGAAGGCATCCCTCCCTTTAGGCAGATAGCCCTCATGTGCTTTGCCATAATTGAATAATCCATTGTTTATGATATTTTGTGTAATTTTATGTTGTGTATGACGTAATGAATGACATCACATTATTTTAAAAGTAATTGGTTTTAATATCTATAAATTTAATCTAATGTTTTAAACATTATTTATGGCTGTTAAATATTAAAATACAATTTAATTTTGCATTAAAAATTATTGTAATATGTATGATTCTTTAAATAATTTTAATTCTATTCGGGATGTAATCAGCTCCCTAATTAGTTACAGAATATTTTGTGCATTAACAAGCTGTAACTCTGATTGGTTACTGAATATTTGTGCATTACCGCACCATTTTAAAATTTTATTATTCATCTCTTTGAATTCCTTAGATTACATTTTTCAAATTTTTTTTGGTTAATCTTTGGATTATGGTAATCGATTTTTATCAATTTATTTTAATCGATTTTTTGGCGACCAACCCTGCTACAGCAACCTGCTAGTTTTTGTTTGGACACCATTTTGTTTTCACGAAGTAAAGGCATGTTTTTTTTTTTATTCAACATTTTTTCCCAACAAACTGCTAGCCCAATTCCGCTTATGCTAGAACTTTTATGGAACAAAAGTGCTTATTTAGATGCGAAGATTATTAGAAGATTAGGTGCGAAATTGGGAGAAAGTGCAGAATCGCAAACTGCTTGCCGCGTTTTTAAGAATTGCACATACACAGTATCCATGTACACTTCGACCTGTTTTCACTTAAAAAAACATCCCAGAATTGCACAAATATGGCATTGCGTACACTCGTGACTTTATCCATGTACACTGCTAAAGTCCTAGCTAGTAACCTTTATCGCCTTACCAAAATGTCGCCAAACTACCTGTTACCATATTCCAAAGATTAGCCTTTTTTTCCCTTACATTACATTTTTAAAATTATGTTACATTTTTCAAATTTTTTTTATTGATATCTGAATTATGATTCTGATTTTTTGTGGTACTTATCAATATATATATACTACAGGTTAAATACTCAAAAAAATGTAAGTACATATTTTTCTTTTACTTTAATTGTATTAAAAAAATTAATACACTGTTTTCAAAAATTGCCAAGATATTTATTGCCACATATGTTTTAAGGTTAAATAATTATATCCTATAAAACTTAGTTTAAAGGATTTGAGTTCAAGTAATATTTTAATTCTTTTAAATGTTGGTATGATGTTTTAATTCAATATTCAATTTAAGTAATATCCAATTAAACATTGGCGCAATGTTTTTATAGCGGTGTTTTTATTCTATTTCTTTGCTATATGAAAGTAATAATAACCTTACTTTAGTATTTTATACTCTTAATAAATGTATTTATTTACATTTGCCTGCCATCTTAAAAAATGACATTTTCAACAAAAAATTAATCCAGTACTTTTAACAATATTTATTTTTTGAAAGTTTCGAATACTTTACTATGGCGTAAAATATGTAAAAGCAGCGTTTTTCAAGATGGCTGACGGTTGTAAAAACTGTGCCAACGTAAATCGCCAAAAATCCATGCAACCGTCTACCAAAGTAGCACCAATTTTAGGCTGAAAACATCTTTATAAAAATCATCTAACTGATTAATAAGAACATTGAGAACCCTAAAAAAGCAGACATGGAGATGGGAAGAGGAATTTAATAGCTACAACAGATGACAGAATCAGTTCTCTTATTACGTTCTACCTTTGAGTTATTACTTTTATTCCTTTAATATTTTGTAACCTTATGCTTTGGTCATAAACTTCTAATATTTTTATTTTGTCTTTGATTACCTCCTTTCCCCATTCCTATCTATTTCAGAAAATTATTCTAAATTAATATGTTCTGAACCTTGCAACTGCCTCATAACTTGCACTCGAAGAATACTGCTGACTCAGCCCCTAGTTCTCTCTTCATCTAGTCAGATTTTGTCCTAAACTGAATGATTCTTGCTTCTCTAACTTCCATAGCTATTTATTTGGACTTATCTGAAAATTACAAATGACTTATGCTGTCGTTAAAACTTGAAGTTTCATTGTTTCAACCATCATAATGCTATGTTAACTGTGCAAAAACTAATTCATCATTCCATGGGGATATGGCTAAGCCCAGATGGGGTCAGAGGGAAGGAATTTGCTTGTTCAGCATGGAATATGTAATTATCGATTAGATGCCCTATTATTATCAAGAGACTTCAGTTAAGCATTTCCCTGAACTGATGTAGTCCTGAATGTGCAAATCAGTTAAAGCATACGATGTAAACTGGAAATTTTTATTGCTTTGGATAGCTAGTATGGAAATATTCTGCCTGAAAGGTGATAGAAATGCTTTGTTGAGAGAATTAAAATTATTACTGAGATAAGTACAAATAAATTTAATAAACAAATATAAAGAGGAAAATGATCACCCTAAATGATATGTGGTGGTGTAGCCTGGTAGCTAGCCCAAAACCAAGAATATGAATTCAACTCCCATGTAAAGCTTTACAGGTATATAATATTAATTCACAATTGTTAATTGATTTACCCTTCTTCCTATTTAATATCAGATGCTTCGTGTGGTGCATCCTTGACAGTGTTCTCAGAAATGAGACAACTAAATGACTTGTTTGGATGTATTTTTTGATGAATGTATAACCAAGAATTTTCCAGCCACAAGGAAAGAATGAGTAGTCAAGAAATCAGGGTATTGAAAAATATTTATTGAGTCATATTTTTTTTGTTTCTATGAATTTTTTTTTTAAAATAAAGATTCTTTCTGGACGTTTAATCACAGCTGCTACAGAGGCCTGAAACTGAAAAACATTAATCTATTTGTTGCTTTCAGATACTGTTTCTGAATTTCAGTTCTAATTTTTTGTCTTTAAAACCTTATAAGTTTATATAAAAATACTGTTTTATTGAATATTACTTCAGATCATGTTACTGTGTATATTGTTCTATTTTCAAGCTGAGTAAAAGTAGTAAGATTTGAAAACAGTGGGTGCATTTTACATTATTGTATTGATTTTAAATTGCTGGTGTAGAAAGATGGGGGGATATTTTACTAAGTGAATTTATTAAAAACATTCAAATTGCAGTATATATGCTTGATTGTTGTTTTCAGTTGTTTGTTGCATTTGCTCATATGTCTTTAAGTAGTAGTAACTAGAACTTTGTATGGCAGTAAAATTTTAAACTTAATAAAACACCCATGTTTCTTGAGATATGTTTCATATATTCATTTTTTCTCTTATAGTTATTTGATTCTTTCTGTAGTTCATCAGATATTTGATTTTATCTGTTTATTCTTTAATTATATTTTTAACTAGTCTATAAATGTTTGGTAACTTCTCGAGTTAATGGCAAATGCATGAGTATAAGCAACTGGGACTATTTTGACTTTTATATTGGCTTACATTATATATGTAAAGATACATTTTATGTGTGGTTCATTAAATAATGCATTCAGTAAGAAACTGGAATTTTTTTCCTTATAAATTATTTATTGGAAACACTGAAAACATTGCAGTTCTTGTGTAGCTCATTATGTTGATGATAGCATTTGGCAAACAAATCGATACAGCAGGAAATTGTTTCTCATTAGTGTGTGACCATTCGTGTACTGCTAATCAATCTTTATATTGTTATCCTGAACCTTTTTTTTCTACCCACCAACGGCTGAGCGGTGAAGTCGCTGAGCACTAGTAGTTCGGTCTGAAGTTCGAATCCCGCGAATGGGCTGCATGACTGTTTTCCCCATGTGTAACCTGTATATGAACCAGTTTCCCTTGGTCCTCCACAAAGGCATCCCTTCTCTTAGGCAGATAGCCCTTGAGGCTTTGTCATAATCACATAAACTAAACCAAATAAACCTGAAATTTTTATCATTAGTGCACAATCATTTATGCACTACTAGTCAATCTTGACTGTAATCCTAGAGCTTCATTCTGATCAAAAGTGGACGCATCTCTAATTCAGTGATAATATGCTGCAGGACAGCTTGACCATCGGCAATTATAAAAAAGCTCTTAGGAAGCAGATGCATGGTTTAACTTTCATTTTAGAAAAGAAACCTTATAGAGATCTTATAAATTTTATTGCCATGTTGATCACTTTAGATGATAACATGCAATTTACATATGGGTTGAATACCGTATATTTCCATCTATAAGCTGAAAAATTCTTGGAACTTTTTCTGAAGCTAAATTATCAGGTCTAGGCTTATACAGTATAGTCTAATCCGGACGTCCATTATCCGGAATGATCCGGACCTCAAAGCCACAAACTTGCGCATGCACGTAATGCGTTTACAGAAACTCTTTTTGACATAATCGAAAGTTCAAGCTTACTTTTTATAAAATTGCTCTCACAGTCTGCAAAAAATAATAAGCCGGATGCAATTAGAAGATTAAAGAACAACGCAATGTGCAACATTAACTGAAATAGATAATTTTAGCCTAGCTTATACCGTCCATTATACATTAAACACGCGTGCGTAAAGGTTACACATGCGCAGAAAGTTTTTAGCTTTGAGGTCCAGATAATAGATCATTCCAGATTATGGATGTCCAGATTAAAGACTTTGTACTGTATGAGAAAAAGCTATTGTATTAACCCTTTAAGAACTAGAAGCCAATATATATATGTTTCAGAAAATTCTTTAGCTCACAAAAGCTGAAAAATGGTAGTTAGACCCAGCAGATGAGTTAGCTACATGAGCATTCTTATGATTTTTCCCATGCCTAAAGTGAATACTTCTTTATGTAATTTTGAACTTTACATGCTAACATGTTTATGAAGTAGGGAGCACATGTCATCTGAACTTTTAATCCTCTCAGCATTATGGATGGAAAATTCTGTATAGAAGACTAGCTTCCTTATTCATTACATATAAAAATTTTTGCCATCTTTTAATTTATTCGATTTCGGTTTGGATATACGGGGTGGTTATTATTAAAGTTCCAGTTTGAAATTGTCATAAAAGGAAAACTACTGTACCAAATGTTATCAAACTTAGTAATCGTGTAAAGGAGGTCATGGCGATTTATTTTCCATGAAAAAAAGTTCAATAACTCACCACCAGGGGAAAATGGTGCTGTATGCAATATTGTTAAACAAAATAAGGGTCGAAATCTAACTTAACCTTTTGTTACACAGTTTAACATGTTGTATACCCTTAAGAAGCATTCACCTAAACAATGTTACCATTTAAAGGTGATAAATGTTGAGTGCGCTATCTGTGTAATGGAGAAATCTATCTTGGAAAATCAGAAACTGGCAGTTAGAAAATGTGAGATCGCAAATCACTCGCCAAAGTGTGCACATTACGGAAATTGTTTTCTTACAGATAATTAATTTGTGATTTTTGAAGCCTGAATTTGGCCCTAAAATGTGAAGATATCAGTTTAAAATGTTTTTAATCTTTTCTAAAACGAAACTGTTTGTGAGGTTATGCAAAACCGCAGTGGCTTGTAATTGGCTTACAACAGGAAAAAACAAATGATTTGTGCAAAGGGACTTTACACATCATATGATTTTTCAAATAAAAGTAAGTGTATTTGTCAGAGTTCTCATTGTTACGAATAGACTATGTCTCTAACTATGCAAGACCATGCTTTTCTCGTGAAATGTTGTTATGAGTGTGATAACAGTGAACATTGTGCTTTGCAAAGGTATCCTTCAGTAAAAGGAATATTCCAAGGGCCAGTGACATCACAGGGTTTGAGGAAAATGATGGCAAAGTTTCAAGCCATGGGTTTATTATCTGTTGCACCCTGGAGGGGAAGGAGACCTGCATCTACATTAACAGTAAAGGAAGCAACAGTGGAAAGCGTGCAGTATACATGCTGTGGCATGTCGAATGGACATACCATGGAGTACAGTGTTCAAAATTGTCCATAAAGTGCTGTAGTTCTACCGATACAAAATCAAACATGTTCAAGAGCTTAAGGGTCCTGCTGCAAGAGAATCTTTCACTTTGGAATTGCTTGCATAGATGGAAGTGGACGAACATTGGCCATGGACAGTTTGGTGTGGTATGACAGCTAGTTTTATAATTCAACCATTTTTCTTTGAAGAGCACTCGACAGCTAGACCTGTTAACATTCTCTGTGTCTGCAGCTTGCTTAGTGTCAATGTTGAGCTGTTTTGTTATACCTGAACTGCAGCAACATGGCATTTTAGACAACACGATTTTTATGCAGAATGGGGCCCCACTGTACATTGGTACATGTGTCACACAGTTACTTAGGCAACGTTTCACGAATGAATGGATTATAGGCCGACACTTCCCCACTTCTTGGCCACCCCAGTCACCAGACCTCAAACCCTGTGACTTTTGGCTATGGGGTTACCTCAAAAGCACTGTTTATGGTAACAATCTAAGTAATTTGGTGGAATTGAAAGATGCAGTACATCAACATATGCCGTAACATTCCTCCTGATATGCTGAGAACTGCTGTTGAGAGTACAGTAATATGATTTAACTTGCTTTTGGAAAATGGTAAATGCTACATTGAACATGCTTTTGTAACACGTTTCAGAAACGATTAAACACATTTTTAAAGAGATGTCTTCATGTCTTATTTAATTTAACAATATTGCATACAGTGTCATTTCTCCCCTGGTGGTGAGTTTTTTAACTCCTTTTTTTTATTTTGAAAATAAATTCTCATGACCTCCTTTACACGATTACCAAGTTTGATAACATTTAGTCCAATAGTTTTCCTTTTATGACCATTTGAAAGTGGAACTTTAAATATAACCACCCTGTATATTGGAAGATAAAAAGTCGAGGTATTAAGTGAAAGAGTAATTTTTAATTAATATCAAGAAAATATTACTTATTCATGACATTTTGAGGAACTTTGAAATTTCCACTCTAAACCCGTAATGCTCGGAGGGTTAAAGGCCTCTTATCATAAGACAAAGAGTATATTTACTATTTTTTAAAAATTAATTATTCTAAAGCTGGGTCTTCTTAGAACATGGGTCCCCTTGCAATAGCAACTTACATGGTCTGATGAATCTACCTTTGAATTTTTCTTTAGAAACTCTGTGAAGGTAGCCCTTCCCTTTAGGTTGATGTCCTTACATATTTTTGTCAATTGGACAAACTCTGAAGTTCTTCTCTGGACTGTGAAACCATAAATAAGTTTAAAAAATATCCTATGCTAAGGGTTACATGCATTCATGCGCAACCATTCACTATATTCTGTGAGCTTGTACGTATATATGTCTTCAACACTTATTTTATTTGGATGCCTACAGATATACTAAGAATACATTATCAAAAGCCTAAAAATAGTTAGTGCCCATCATTAAAAAAAAAGTCACACCTTATGTAATGCTTCATGACAATTGTATTTCCTTGAATGTAAGCTTTTATTTTATTTTATTTATTTATTTATTTATTTATTTATTTTTTTTTGCACATCTGTTACCATTTTTAATTACATTTGTTGTAGATATGCTTAATTAATGAATGTAATTCATAGTTAAATGTCAAGTATGGTTAAAAACTTTTAATAAAAGATGAATTTATTCTTTTTCAATGAAGTTCACTTTTCAATTTATTCTGCTGCAAAAGTTAAAATTTATTCAGGCCAATCATATGCTTTGTTGTTAAGTATATTGAATTGTATAATAAAGGTGTAATACCAATCCAGTTAATAACACCAATATTAATCGAATTGGTATTACACCAGTCAAAAATTTCTTATGTCTGGAATTTCACTTTGAACAGAAGTATCGGAACTGACTTTCAGTATCTGTCCCATATGTGATCAAATCAAATCGAGAGAAGATGTAATTATATTTCTGTTTTAAGAATATAGTTATTCTGCATTTTAAATGCAAATTAAATTCTACATTTAATTACAGCGTGGATATTTTCCTAGGTTATAAGTTAATATTTTTATGAAACTAAAACATTTTTTTCCTAATAGTAACTTATTTTAAAGGTACATTATTGTGTGTGAGTTATGATATGAAATTTCACGTATGTCATTTATGATGTTTTTATGCTTTTGGATAATTGTAATATCTTAAATTTTATGCTGCATTCATATGATCATTTGCACCCTTTCTATTCAGTTTTATCTGCTGAGTAGTAATAATTTATAATAGCATTGAAAGTTTCTGTGTAACTCACTTTGTTTTCATTACAGATTGGTGCAATAAATGGGATATTAAATGGAAATGCATATAGCTGTTGAGAGGTAAATATGGTTTGTTTTTACATTCATAAGCATATAATAAATTTATTTCTAAAAATGTCCATCTAACAGAAATGCATACTGAAGCACAGAGATCGCATAAATGCACTAAATTATTTCTTTGAATGTCTTATCTCTTCTATAATGACATGAAATTTAGGTCTATGTCCAGTAATCTTTTATTTCACACTTCATTTTCGACATACTTGGAAAATTTTTGCCATACTTGGAACAACTATATTTTTGGCTTTTTTTTTTTTTTTTTTTTTCTGTGCAATGAAGTATTATCTCTAGTAAAATGCAAATCTGAGTTTGGTAATTGTGATGAAATTAATTAAGCAAAATATAAAGGTAATTTTTTTTTATTTCAAAAAATGCATTTAAAAATAAGCTTTTGAAATAAAAATGTGTTGATTAAATTAAGGAAACTGTTAAGTTCAAGCTTAAATTTTAAAAATTTTAAAAATTATGAACTGAATATGTAAACTATTTCATAGAAACAATCTTTCTAAGATTGACCATTTCTGAAAATGACCAGCACTTCTGAGAACATAGATACATTGTTATTGATAATTATGTTAATCTGTAAGACTATCACTCCATAAACTTGACTGAGATCATCAGCGTATGTTAATTAAGGCAAACACTAAAATGTTTAATTTTATTATCAAACTAAGTTATTTTATGTATTAAACAAATCAAGGAATTACATATCTATTTCTGTTGGGAAGTTCTAAATATAACAGCAGAATTACTTTATTGGAAAACGCTGATCAATTTTATTCGTTTTCAGCTTTGTTAAATTAATATATACATTTGATTTGGTGGTTATAGTATTGTGCTCTTTAAGCAATTCATCATACTCCTGAACTTTTGGTTCTAATTTTTTTCATTTTCTGTCAGTGCAGCACCACTAGTAACTCATTATCAGTATTCAGATAGTTCCAGTGCTGTTCATTTCTGGTTTTGAGTGGGATTTTTTTATTTTAAATATTAAAAAACCTTAAGAGTCTTATCTTAAATTAAGCTGTTTCAACTAACTGTAACTAGCCATATAATACTATGATAAATTAGAATACTACAGTGCATTTACTATAATAAAGAATAAGGCACACAATGCTACATTATATCTACTGCAGTGAAGAATCAAAACTATTGTGATAAGAAATTGAAGTGGAATTTCAGCTGAATGTGAATCTAAGGTTAATCAGCTGACCAATATTTAGTTGTTTCTCTGACTGAAAAAAGACTTCACCATTTACCTTGGCAAAAAATGTAATTGGGAATGATGGATGATTTCAAGATGCAGCGACAATGAATATGTTTTCGACAAATTTGAAAATAAGTGTTCAGGAAAAAAGTTTTAATGATGTGAATTAGTAAAAATATATTTACAGGTGCCCCTTGGCGATTTTCGGCGGTACATTGATACAGAGTTTGGTGAAGATAGACGATTTTTGGCAGTACATGGATACCAAGTTTGTGCAATTCTTTGACTTGTTATTTTGGCTTTGTGTAGATTTTTGCGCCAAAAATTGCCGGTACACAAAGAAGAAATAACAAGTCAAAGAATTGCACAAACTCAGTATCCCTGTACACATTGACCCATTTTTCACTTTAAAAAAAGTAGAGAATTGCACAAACTTGGCATTGCACACTCCCTTGTCCTTTGTCCATGTACACATCAATCTATTTTCACTTAAAAAGTCAAAGAAGCACCCAATTCTGCAGAAAATTCTGCCAAACAAAAAATACATAGTGTCAATAAACTACATTTTAAATCAAACAATAAAATAACATAAAAAAAAGGAAATTCATCTTGTGCATCTAAGCACTACACAAAGTAAATATCCACTTACCTTATTTAGAAATTTCTGAGTCCTTCAGTCTGTGGCACAAAAAATTCCTTAACAGCATGCAAAAACTTTCTAAAATTATCTGAACTAGAATCCGTATATCAGCGTCGCCACATAAATTCACAAAAATAAGAGTCAAAAATATCCTCCGACGTTCATACGAATTTCCTTCCTACAAACAGGACACTTGTAATGGCTATTAAGTAAACCTTCATTTACGCACCAGTCAATTAATGCACCTTTTCCCCCCTTTCGTTCCAAATCGTACAGAAACTTTATATTGATCTTACCACATTCAACCATTCTACCGTCTATACCACAAAACAAGCTATGTACTTCCTAACCAACACACACCACAAGCCCTTACAAATCTTTTTCCTGCCATTCAATATTTAGGGCAATCACACAGCTGATTATGTCATAATAGGGTCTCCATAACATTCAACTACTCAGGTTACCATAGATGAAACAACAACTTTGCGATAATCAAGGCACACCCATCAATCTACTCTAACCTGTGAATTATTTGGCTACTGAAGCAAACAATCTAATTCAAGTGGCAATCAGAGAAATGTGAAATAAAAAGGTATAGATAGTATCATATATAACGAAAATCTTCCATTCAGTAACTAGTTGCAAATCCTTGAAAAAGAGGACATTTCTGAACAGTTACAAGTTATTTGTGATAAAAGCTGCATTTGTGAAAAGTTTGTATAATACTTAATCAAACAACTTTATAAAAATATTGATCATATCTTTCTTCAAGTGCCTTAAATAAGGAAGAAAATGTATCATCTATTGTTTGTATCTGCTTTGCATTACCAATCAAACAAGATTGTAAATAAAACAATTTTTGAGAATCTGTTAATTGTCTATGAGATGAAATTAAAGCTATAAATTGGTTTTTAAATAAATTCCCAGAAAATTTAGGTAATGTTATTTCAGGCAATTTATAAATCAATGAATTACTTCTTGTTTTGGGGATACTATTATTTGCATACTCATTATTTGCATTCTTACTACATAATCAAGTATAAAGACATTTCAGGCTTACCTCAACATTGGTGATATCCATCTCTATTTCTTCAAAACTAGCTTCAATGTCTGATATTTCTTCATCTTTGCACACTTTGTAATAATCCAATCATCAGTTTGTTTATTTAACTTGTGCACTTTTTCTTGCAATACTTCTATTTGTTCGAAACCAAAATCATCACTTTTTCCACTGACAGACGACTTTAATTTGGTTATTTGCGCTTTAATACCGCCATGTTTTCTGTTCAGCGAAGTTATGTCTTCATTAGCCATTTTTTTTAAATTCTAATTAACTCCGGGTTCGACGACAACCAATGTTTTGAGGTCGCTGGTTAGACTGTATACTAACAGACAACAAAACAAGACAACTTTACAACAACAAAAACATTTTTAACAATTTTATTTTGTGGACTGTATCATAACTAAAAATCTAAATCGAAAATGATAAATTCCTGACCATACGGGATTAAAACATGTATGCTACGCTAGGAGTTCGAATCTTAACTAACTGAAATTGCGCAGAAACAATGCGCTGTACATAACTTTTATTGCGGCGTAAGAGGCAACACCAATCATCAATCAATTAATGGATGGTAAAATCTGTAGTATGGTTCTAGATCTAGAAAATACCACTAAATAGTGAAGAAAGTAACAAAGAGGTTATTGAAAATGAAAAAATTTTGATTGACAAGTTAGTCAGAATTATCGACACAGCAACTACAGGACCTGAATAGTGGAATTTTGTAACTGGACAAGAAATTATGTCTGTCTATAGAATTGAACAGAAAGTATTAGTACAAAAAAGAAACAACTTAAACAATTTACATTCTTAAACATTCAAAGCAATGTTTAATAAAGTAAACAAATAAATATTAAGTATTTTTTGTAAATTTTGATACTCTTTAGATTGTAAATGCTTTATTATTTCATAAATCACAATTTCATACTTTTAATTTTATAATTTTTACATGCTGTCTTACTAGATTTAAAATGATGATCTAATATCCGAAAAAATCCCAAATCCGGAATTGCCGAAGTCCCAACGAGTCCGGATCTCGGACATTGTACTATACTTGATTGCAATATATTTACAATGTGTATTAATGGGGACACTGTTATATTGGAAATAAATATTTTTTTTAACATATGCAAGAATAAAAGTGCAGTTTTATGCACTGCAGTTTTTGTGATAACCTTTTAAATTCCTCCCCCCCCCCCGATTTTGTTTTGATTTTAACAGTTCTTACTTTGTTATTACATCAGGCCACTTACAAATTGGTAGGTAGTCTTTCTTGGCAAGTACCATGGTATGAAAAGAACTAATTCTTTTCTCTGCCTCTTATTTAGTTCTCTGCTGTAGAGTTCTTGAATAATCAAGCAACCATTTGTTCAGATAATCTGAACAGCCTTTGTTGTTCCCTGCTAGTGACTTAAATGATTCTCATTTCCATCTGTTACCCATTGGCTCCAGAATCGCATTTATTGGTTTCCCTATTAAAAAATGACCTAGGGTCAAAATTTCATTATGATCAGAATCATTGGATATCAGTGTGAGATTTCTCGATTTTAGAATTCCCTCCACTTGCACAGTTACTGTTTCAAACTTCTTATATGTAGAATGTAAATTTCTTATCATTCTTTTGAAAAGAAGTTTTATGTATTTAACATGGGCTTTCCATAGCCCCCTGAAATGAGGGTACTTTTTTCCGGTATGAAGTTCTGCTTTATTCCTTTGAAAGTGAAATATGAGGCCATGTTTCCTGCAGGAAAATTAATTGTATTTGTAACTCAGTGGCTTTCAGGCATGTGGTCACAGCAAGATGAAGTTCAGAAAATGGTAAATGGCACCTGTAAGAAAAAGTTCAAAAGGAAAAGATTTTTGGAATAACAGTAGTTGGCAAACTATGTAAGATAACGTTTAACACTATTGAAATGGACAGACTTTGAAGGATAAGTATCAGCGATGTGACAGGAGCTCTGTGGATGTTTTATCTCTGACTTCAAACTTCTACTTGACTGCTAATTCTTTCTTTTTATAATATGAATAATAAAATGTGACTCCATTTTAGCAATAAAGTTTTCTTCTATAATATCAATACATATACCTTTAGCGTAATGTTAGTTTTAAAGGAGAAGAATGAAATAATTCAGAAGGTAACAATATTTACAATATGACATTTTGGTTATAAAATGGCAGTCCAATGCAGAACCCAAATAATTAATTTGATTGAAAACGAACAACCAGTGTTAAACTCCAAAGTAGAAAATTCTAAATCTGTTTCTGATTCTCAGAAAGGAATTGCAGAAACTTCCAATTCAATTAAAGTTTTCAAAACATTCTCTTTAGTGGATCTTCGAAGCGATGAAGGTAAGCATCTAAATACAGAACAACCTATTAAACTAAATTGCTTGCTGCAAGAATTCAAGAGTTGCTTTGAACCAAGAGAACAAAGTAGAGGTTCCAGGGTTTATAACGAGGAAAAAAATTAAATAATTAATGGTGATGAGTTTTTATCCTTGTCTAGAAATTGCAAAAAGTTTAAATGAAATAAGAAATGGAAGATGGAGTTTTTAATGCCCGTACCTTGTGCAGTAAAAGGAAAAAAAAACAACAACTGTAAAGTAGATTTTAAAACTAAAGGGGAATCTGATGTCGGATTTCTTTTCTAAATAATATATAGCGCAAAATATTTTTTTAAAATGCCATCATTATACTTTACATTTAAAATAACTTATTTATTTACTGTACTAAGATCCTCATTTTTAGAGTATGTAAGCAATTTTTGTTTTATTGTGTGGTTATGTCTATCTTAATCTCTCCTGATTTAACAGATTTCGTATACAGTTAGTGATGGATTTATGGTGTGGAGGAGCCACCAGAGTTTTTTTTTTTTTTTTTTTGGCTTCTTATCTTAAAATTCAGAATATGTTTACTATTTGGAAATTATCAGACGTTCTCTTGAAACACTAATCTCCTCTCAGATATGATTCTCATGATTCTGTTAATCCATATCATCCTAAGATGCAGAATATGTTTACTATTCTTTGGAAATATCGAGAGGCTTCTTGAAACACGAGTCTCTTTTCATTTCCGATTCTCGCAACTCTATTAACCCATATCATCGGATACCAAGCGATTCGTCAAGTCCTTATTTAGCTGTGTTTGACTATTAATAATGAGACAGTAATGCTTATTTACATAAATATGAAAACAAAAATTATCAAAACGTGCAATTTTTATATATTCATGTTCATAGGGCTATCTAAAAGTCTGTAATAATTTTAGAAATTTATAAAAAATCAAATGAGTAGGTTTATCACAGAGTAATTAAAAACTGAATTACCTGGTGGCTCTTTGGGGAGACTAGTTACTTATTTAACGAAATGTAAGAATTTAGAATTTTTTTACATTCCGAAATTGCTGATTCAGGAAGGAGTTTTTCAAAACTCCTTCCTGTTGAACCTTGAAACTTCAAAGTTTTTAACTGTTTTAAAATAGTTCAAGAATATTAAACAGATCAAGCAAAAATATTTACACAGAATAAAATTTTATCTCCAGTCAATACAGCTGAGATAATTCAAAACTGAATAACTTTTTCAGAATTTTTATATCAGGGTGATCAGGAAATGATGCAGAATTTTGACTTGTCAAATTTCAAGTGCATAGAAGTAATTCCACAATCAAAGTTTTTATAGATTATGCCTTCCTTTCCCAGCTACATTTAATTGAAAATTTATTAATTTATTATAAATTTACCATTTTATTAGTAAGTAATGTCATATGATAAGTTGCATATTCTCTATATATGGTATACAGTAAGGTGACCAGATTTCAAAGTTCGGAATTCAGGAAGCTATGTATATATAATTTTTTAAATATTTTTTTACAAATATATTATATTACTATTATTGTTATTGTGGTGAAGGCGGGTGTGTAGGCCAATATGTATATATATAAAATATATAAATATGTATCAAAATAAAAAACTTTTTATTTTTTAATAGTGATATATAGTATTTTTTAATAAATAAGGAATACATCAAAGCACAGTATTCATTTTTAAGGAAGTAATAAATTTGTAATGCTTCTAAATTATTTTGATGAAGTAGCCCTATGTGTTTCTGAAGCATGAATATTTCTTAGAACATCTTTTTCTTTTTTGATCTTCTTGTAAAAGGTCCATGTAATTTTCTTCAAAATTTCTTTTGGTGATTAACATGCCCTTCAAAAAGTCCACTTTAAGCTGTGTCTTATCACTAGTCCAGAAACTCCTCATAATGCTGAATACTCACTCAGTTGCAGTATTAGTGCCAAGAAGACAAAACAATTCTAAAACATATGAATAAGGAATCTGGATCTGATTAAAATATGCAGTTATTTCCTTTCACCTCTGAGCTGGGTACTTTTTATTTTCTGACCATTACAGTATTTTTTCTTCCAATGTATATTGTTTAAGGTAAACAACATATTCCTCATATATATATATATCAATTTCCAATCATTTATGATTTGGTATTATTTTATTAATTAACAAAAAGGCTGTCCCGGCTTCAAGAAGGGTTTCATTTAATATGATCCAGCTGTACGTGGCCATCTCCTGAAATACTTTTTTGCCCATTTCTCCATATAAAGTAAGAGCAGTCTGTTAAAATGAAACAATAGCTTCTCAAAATTCAATAACTTCATATTGTGAGACATCTCCATTCTCTTCAAGTTTTTCTAGATGTTTGGAATAAAGTTATCTTCTCTCTTGCTCAGTATTGAAGCTTTCAGAGCATCTGTTCAAGCAATTAGATCAAATGCAGATGCAGTTTGATTTTCAGTTGTAATCACTTTATGAAATATTGAAGCCTGGATAGTAATAAAATGTAACCAATTTCTGCCACTCGATTGTGAAAGAATTTTAAAATAAGCATGGGATACTTTTCTTAAGATTGAAACTAAGCCTTTAGTGCTAAAAACATTTGGAGTACCTTTTCAGAGGCGGGAAGTAATGCTAACCATCCTGTTTCTGAATATGCTAGTATCATTGAAAAATCGGTTTCTACGATGTTACAGAAATTCAATATAAGAATTTAAGTATATATAAGAAATAATCGTTTCTATATCAACTGGCAAAACATCAGCTGATGTTCTTATAGTTTTATGGATAATATGCACTGCAGATCCAACTCCAATTAAACAGTGGTTCAGGTTTTGTTTCAGTTTAGCAAATATTTTTCTGTCCATGTCTGTCAGCTCCTCCACAGTTAAAATATGTGTTATTGGCACAAAGACCAATAGCTGTTTCTTTTCAATTATTTGCTTCAAGACAGGTAGTTAAATAATTGCTGACAATATGCGATGTTTCACTACGTAAGAATTTAAATTCTAAAATTTTTACTCCAACTCCATAACTCCAATCTATAAATCTAACAAATATTAAAAAAAGTTTTATTTTTTTGTGATTGGACACATCAGTTAAGACTGAAACAAATGAACATTTTCCCAAAGCTCTTAAAGTCTAAGGCATTCAAACATTTAGTATTATTTCTTTGGCATAGTTTCACGCATATGTAAATTTAGACTCAAATGTCACTTGAAGCAGCTTCAGTATACAATCCATAGACCTAAAGCTACAGTTATGGGAAATAATGTCATATGCAAAAGTACCTTCTACTGCAGCTAATTCCTCTTCCTTATCACCTATTTTCTCCTGTTTGAAGAAAGTCCTCAATGATCAGCTAGATTCAGCAGCAGAGATTAACATTCTGTGTTTATTTATGTGAAGTTTAATATCTATACATCCACCATTGTTTATTCAAAATTTTGAAGAACATGTATTGGCACTGTAGATCAGAATTGCTCATAGTTTTTTCAATAAATGGGTATTCCTTCTGTTCACTAGGTTCTATAGGTTTTCGCCTTTTTTTCTGATTTTGAACTCGTTACTAAAAAAAATCAGTGATCAAAATAAATAATACCGTAATTTTCGGAAGAAAGGCCGCATCAGCGTAAACGCCGCACTCGAGAAAAATGGCGGGAAAAAATTTAAAATTACACAGAAACGCTGCATCAGCGTAAATGCCGCAATAGATTAAATTGCGCGTGACATCGTCGTGGGCCGTATAGATGCAAAAACTCAACCTAAGTCCTGATATATGACATACCAGTTAGAAAAATGCATGAAATTACATTAAGCTCAAAATAAAAAACAGCAGTATAGTTTCTGTAGCGTTTAGGTGCCATTTTCAAAAATTTTCCGCTCTCTTCTTACATAAAAACTTATCCAACAAATACTTGTACCCAAACTTATGGGATGTATATCTGGCAGAATGCCAAAAAAAATCGATTCATGCTGAAGGGGAAATACGTCAGAGTTCGTTATTGCGAGGCAGGTGGAGTCGTGTCTACCTTTGAATAAAATTGCAGAAAAGGCAGGGGTGAGGAGAGCATGGGTCCTGGAAGATTCATGGAATGGCAGAGGAGAGAGACTATTCAAAATGATGAAAATGCTGATTTGAAAGGGGGGAAGAATGTTATTGTTCTGAGATCCCGTTTAGGGTGAATAAGGCATGTAGGTCGTTCAAGGGAAAGAATGTAACAAAAATAACGTTCGCAAAAAGCAACTGAGTGGTCTTTTTGTGTGGGAACAGCACCAGTCTATGCACAATGACAAGGCCATCCAAACAATGTACATGACCCATCATAGGAAATATTTTATTTTTAGTGCACCTAAACGCTGCATGGGTAGAAACGCCGCACCCGCTGAAAATTTAAGTTTTAAACACGTAAACGCCGCGGCGTTTCTTCCGGAAATTACAGTAAATTAAACTACAGTAAATCATTAGCAAATATGCAACACATCATTGATAATCAAAAAATATGAATCATTGCCAAACTGGAAAAGTTATTACACGTCATTGTTTTAGCAGATTTTTAAAATTTTTTGAACCCTTATTCAAGGTAAATGCTAGATGGAGAATCCCTTGTTTATGCAGCCGATATGATGCACGTTTCTTAACTTATATTCTCATTTTGCAGTCTACACTACTTAAAGCAAATGTATGCATTTAAACTTTTATGTTCTCACTACTGTTCTTTTTTTTTTACAGCTGATGTAAATTCAGAACCAAAAAACGAGTTGTAAAAAATCGGGACAGGGATTGAAAATTCGGGACTTCCCCGGGAAATTCTGGATGTATGGTCACCTTATTACAGTGATGTCGAACGTATGGCACGTGTGCCACAGTCGGCACGCAGAGCTTCATCAGCCAGCACGCGACCAAAATATTACTTCCTTGATCAATAATCACAATAAAATGATACTATTTAATTTAAATAAGTGTTTTAGTTTGTTCTTGAACGTTTCACTTACTTATCGCATAATGCCACCGGCATAGGGCCCAAGCCTAGATATAAGATTTTCATATGTCACCATAGAAATGATATACATATTTATTGACCCAGTTTAAGACGTTTCAATTGTTTGTGCCAATCATATTACTTGCTACATGGCGAAGAATACGACAAAGTTGAAGCAGCTAATGTTTACTAAACAAATTCAAATATATTGCAGACTGCCAGTGAGTTTTAATACTTTCATTGTTAAATAGATTCCAGTTTTCAGATCTAAGCATGAGGTAACTTATGAATAATTCTGATTTAATAGCTTAAATGGAATGGCATGCGGCTATTACATTTGGGGCACGTGGCCCCAGAAAGGTTCGCCACCACTGCCTTAGGCCTGCATGGAAATGCTGCAGAAGCCCAGTCGGAAGAATTTTTCAGTAATCCAGGTATTGTTAGTGAATGTCGGTAAAGGTTTAAGAAGTTTCAAAGGGGAAATTTTTTATCATGCCTCACCAGTAAAGAAATAAGAGCTTCATTGTGCGCAATCAACAGCTGTATATCACTTTAAAATAAATCGGAATGTTTTTTCATGCTGATTCTGTCATTCCACATTGAACTTAAGTTGGTAAACATCAGCACCATATATCACTTTGAACTTCTCAGTTGATAAGAAATTAAATAAATCCTTTTCTAAGGTAGAATATGACTGGAGATGAAAAAGGCTTCTTTGTGTTAATGTTACTGGGAAAAGATTGTGATTCATTGAGCCCAAAAGAGGAGTCAGTTCTCATAGTAAAACCAGGACTGCATCTAAACAAGGTTTTGCAGTGACTGTAGAAATGATTTATTTTGAAATGCTAGAAATTAACCAGTCCTGTAAGACAGACATCTGTAGCCATGATTTAAATAATTTGAAATGAACTTTATCCACCAGGCGACATTCATTATTTGACAGATCTGATGTAATTGTTCAACAGAACAGGAAATGTGAACTCATATGTTCCAAAAGTACTTAAAGATATAATAATTGTAAATTTATCCATCCACCTATTGGAAATCTTACCAAATTCTTACTGCCATAATTACATGTGTTAGACAACTGTGGCCTTTTTTTTTTTTTTTTTTTTTTTTTTTTTTTTTTTTTTTTTGTGGGCAGATGGGTTGAAACTTCTTTAATAAACATGAGGTGTAAAATGTAATAAATGAATATTTTGAAGCAAACTTACTTTTCTGTCTTGTTTCCAATTATACATATTACTGTAAAAGCCCAAAGTCTGGTAAATCCTAGCTTTTACCAAAGTGGCTTCATAAAAGTCCGAAGTATGCTTTAATATGATATACCATTTTGGACTTTTACCAAGCCTCTGAGGTAAAACCTAAGAGCTACCAACGCCTTCTAGTAAAAGCCCGAAACGAGGGATTACTTATGAAAGGATTTTCCATTCTCAGATACATTGTATACAGTGTATCAAAAATCAAGTTAAAACACACTTTAACTTTTTAATTGATAATATAAATTGTAAAACTGATCAAAATAAGGTATGATTTAAGATTATGTTAGTAAAACTATCTTACAATTATTTTTCAAAGAGTTACAATAAATGAAAAAAATGCAATATTTATGCCATTTCACAAATAAGATGTCATGTGAAGAAACTGAATTAATGCATAGTTCTTTCGGTAGCTACTGAGGAGATTTCAATAATTTTTAAAAATAATTTTGGCAATAGTTAAAAAAATTGAATTGATAGCTTAGGAAAAAATTAACAAAAATTATGAAATTTGAAAAATAAGAAAAATGCAGTATGTTTTTCTTTAATACATGTAGTACTTCTTACTACCTGTCACAACAAGTTTGACTGTTATGGCATTTTGAATTGCAAAGTCGATCAGCTGATTTGCACAAACACATCTTCGTAGTACACTTGTTTGAACTGTCTGTTCCTAAAGAAGAGTTCGTTTCCGAGTTAGCTGACTAAAAGGTTTGTACTGCAAAGCGGATAAAGATGTGTAAGGAAGGTCAGTTGACTGACACGAAACACGTCATCCTTATATTCCAAACCCTATGCGATGCTTCCAGTGCCAGCGTTTTGGCCATTCCAAGATGTCCTGTCGTGGGAACCTGACGTGCACTCTGTGTTCATCGGTTGGCCACGATAGCTATAATTGCCCCGCTGGGGCACTGTGTATAAATTGCAATGGCTACCATCCAGCATTTTCTCGTTCATGTGCAAAATGGAAAACAGAAAAGGAAGCATGGATGGCAAAAGTAACTAGGAACATCTCATATGCTGAAGCCAGAAACTAGTTCAAAGCACGCAGCTTTAATCAAACAAATCATATGCCAGTGCCGTTACATAAACGCCTACCATTGCCACCCAAACTTCAATAAGTACACAGACTCCACCAAATAAAACCCAGCAGACTGCAAGCAAGAAAAAGGAAAATCCAACACATGTCATACAAAATAAAAGAAATAGTTATTTCAAGCAAACCAAAAAATATTCCTACAAAAATAGAAGCCCTGGCAATAGTTCTCTAGATGAAATGATCTCTGAATCTGTTGATTCAGATAGTATGAAAGTGGAGGAGGGACTGGAAGTCCCTAAACATCTGCTTCTGCGCAAAACTAAAAAGCAACACAGAAAGAACAAACATCAATTGTAATGGCCACCCTCGCCTCATGAAACTGTCACGGTTTCCACCGAAATTTCCTTAACATCAAAGCTATGATCAATGCGTATCATCCTGTGTACTTGGCAATACAAGAGTCAAATTTGAAACCAGATCAACATGCAAATCGTCAGAGGTTTTCTTTTGTCAAGAAGGGTAACCTTGTAGATAAGCGTGCCAGTGGAGGTATAGGTCTCCTCACCTCACTGGACTATCCATCAAGTTCATTTCCTTTGACGACATCCCTCCAAGTTGTCGCTGTACAGGTAAATTTTCATGTTTTGTTTCAGTCGTTTCTGTTTATTTGCCTCCTAATGAGCACATTGATCAGCGGGATTTAAATGACCTTGTGACGCAGCTGCCTGAGCCTTTTATCATAATGGGAGATTTTAATGGCCATAGTACGCTGTGGGGAAGTAAAGACACCAATTCACAAGGAAGACAAATTGAACAGACAATTGAAGATCATTTTCTTTGTCTTCTGAATAATTGGCAAGATACATACTTCCATGAACCAACAAGGACTTTCCATGCTCTTGATCTAGCCATCTGTTCACCATCTCTATTAACATTTTGTATTTTTAGTTTTGGAAGTGATCTTTACAACAGCGATCATTATCCCATTCTTTTATCTCTTGCATGAAGAGGAGCAAACCCCATGCCGAGTCTCCCACGGTTTATACTGCATAGGACAGAATGGGAACTCTTCTCTTCCTTTGCAGAGCTCACAGAGAAAATGGTAGAAGATGTGCTCATCGATGATGCAGGGAAAGCGGTTACAAATGTTATTACCAGGCAGCTATACTCTCCATCCCTAGAACATCAGGAAAAATACTAAAATATTTGAAACCGTGGTGGAATCGTGACTGTCATGAAGCACTGAAAAAACAGAATAAAGCATGGGGAATTTTTTGTAGATACTCTGCAAAACCTCGTAGCATTTAAAAGAGCCAAAGCAAATCCACGAAAAGTAAGAAGGCAGAGCCAGAGGAATTCTTGGATTTCATATTGTGTCATCAATAACATCCTCTATGTCTAGTAAGTGGGTTTGGGAAAGAGTTAGAAAAGCATGCAGAATATATAAAGACCAATCACTTTCCTTTTGGGAAAAGATGGCTGAGTGATTAGCTCCATGGAAAAAATTGCGAATACTGTTGGTGAGACATTTGCTGCCGTTTCTTCCAGTAGAAACTATTCACTTGCATTTCTGTCTATCAAGCAGCACTCTGAAATAAATCCCACCGCATTCAACTCTTCCATATCTGAGCCGTATAATAGAGACTACTATGCTTGAATTAAGGAGGGCTTTGTTGCAGACACATACGTCTTCTCCTGGTCTTGATGGCATGAATTACGAAATGCTGAAACATGTATCCTATAAGTCATTGAATGCCCTTCTCATTCTTTACAATAGAGTATGGAAGGAGCATACTTTTCCCAGTGCATGGAGGAGAGCTGATGTAATTCCTATTGCTAGGCCAGGGGAAGATCCAAGGAATCCCTTCAACTATCAGCCAATTGCCCTTACGAGTTGCATATGCAAGCTGTTTGAAAAACTAGTAAACAGCTGCCTAGTCTACTTCTTGGAAAAAAATAATGTTATATCACCTTATCAAAACGATTTTCAAAAAGGGAGAACAACCGTAGATAACATCCTCTTAGAGACATCCATTCGAAAAGCTTTTGTATGAAAAAGTCATCTTGTCTTAGTATTCTTTTACATTGAGAAAGCTTATGATAAGGCATGGAGATACGGTATACTTCGGGATCTTCACGAGAGTGGCTTTCACGGCAGCTTACCAATTTTCATTCAGAATTTCTTGAACACTAGAACTTTTTAAGCAAGGATTGGCTCTGTTTTGTCGGATGTTTTTGAACAGGAAGAGGGTGTGCCTCAAGGCTGTGTGCTTAGTGTAACTCTGTATTAAAAGAACTTTCTCCCACCATCTTGGGATCTCTATATGTTGATGATCTACAGATTAGCTATCAAGGGGCAGGCATGAGAGATACGTAGAGAGACAATTGCAAATGGCTCTGAATAAGATCCAAGAATTGTCAGACAAACAGGGATTTACATTTTCAAAACAGAAAACTTTGTGAGTGCACTTTTGTAGGAAGCGAGTTCTCCATCCTGAGCCATCGTTATATCTGAATGGTACAATTATTCCAGTTGCGCCTGAAGTAAAATTTTTAAGAGTGACCGTTCGACCGAAAATTGACTTTCCTTTCTCATGTTTAAACCTGAGAAAGAAGTGTTTAAAACACTAAATATTTTAAAAGTGTTGCCAAACACCTCCTGGGGTGCAGAGCGTTGCTCTATGCTTCACATTTACAGAGTGCTTGTCTGCTCTAGACTGGACTATGGCTCAGTTCTTTACGGATCTGCTCGGTCATCAATATTGTTAAAACTAGATCCTGTTCACCATCAAGCTCTGCGGATTTGTTCAGGACTTCTCCTGTCCAGAGCCTGTATGTTGACTCTAACGAACCATCACTTTATCTGAGGCATGAGCAGTTTTCCCTTTTGCAATATTTTAATATTCTATCGCAACCTGAACACCCTAGTAAGCTGTGCTTACTTGATAATGTGTGTAGCACTTTATTTGGAACACATCCATCCTGTGTGCCTACCTTTTCCTTAAGAGTTTGCCCTGTCATTGAGGAGCTTTCCCTCTCTGATATGTGCCCCCAAGCAGTGCAGAATTTTGAAATCCCACCTTGTGAAAATGTACAAATTCAGCTTCTTGATGTTTTCAACCATCACGTGAAGGGAAGCACTAACGACATCGTTTACAGAAAACTCTTTGATGAGCACAGGCATAAATATAGCAGTTATCTTCCAGTATAATCAGATGGATCCAAGTCAGATGTTCGTGTTAGGCTGGCATTTGTAATTGAAGATCACATAGAGGGGAGACGTTTGCATGCTTTCTCAGTCTTAACATCTGAACTAACTGCAATCTATTATGGTCTTTTGTACATCTCAAAGCTCTGCCACAAGAAATTCATTCTGTATACAGACTCCGTATAGTGCTCTAAAA